ATAATTTTCATGCACTACGATAGACATGATATTGGATTTTAATTGTTGAACATTCAGTCCCTTGTGGAATGGTGTCATTTACCAACATCCTGAGATTTCCCGATATGGTCTTGCTATACAAATATACAGGATTTCTATAGAGATATTTACTATCTCACTTTATATTGTAAAGCAATGTGAACAGTTACAATACAAATCAAAACTGAGGGTTAGGAGGAGGACCCTGCTCATCAAAGCTTAAAATGTTAAAAAAAAAAAAAAGGCAGTAATTGATAGAAAAAGGTAATACCGGTTGGGGGGGGGGGGGGGGGGGTGAACTGATGGAGAAAGTAGAAGTTTAGTTGTTAGGTGGAAATGGAATAGGCTTCCCTGAAGAGATACGTTTTCAGGAACTGCCTAAAGGCAGACAGAGTAGGAAATAGCCAGACAGACTAGGGTGAGAATTTCAGAGAAGCTCTGGAGAAGTCCTGGGAAGGGAGCATGGGAGAAAGTAATGAAAGTAATAAAGTGCAAGTCTTGGGAAGAGTTAAGAGGATGGTTTGGGTGATATTCTGAGATGAGGCTGGTGATGTAACTCAGGGCAGAGTTGTGGATGGCTTTGTATCTTGTTGTTAAAGTGGAATTCCAAGCTAGAACTAACCAAGCTTAAAACTGCTCCCACCCCACTTCTAACACCTATACTAACTACCCTGCAAAGGAAAGAGGCTTATACTTGCCTATTCTCAGAAAGTTCTGGTGCAGCCACCTGATCAGCTTCCAGAAGCTGGTTTCAGGTGAGAGGACAACAATGAAGAGACAGATCACAATGAATGCCCCATATGGAACTCGATGCCAAGAGTTCAAACAGAGCTACCTATCGCCACACCCTGACACTATTAGAAATCCACATCTCTCTCCAAAAGACAGAAAAAAAGGTTTATGGGATTTTTAGGGTGTATCATCTCTCAAAGAATCAACTTACATAAGGTGTATTTGTAGGGGTTGGGAGGCAGGTGGTCCTTATTTCCGGGTACACGATACTGACTATAAGCATCCCTGGTTCTTTGGTTACACCAGGCAGAATGCGGGGTCATTTGCCCTGCACATGGGGTACCTTTGTGTGCATGCACACACTCACTAATGCCTGGGACTATGAAGAAGCCAAGTTCAGGTTAAATAAATCTTAGGGTGGCCCCCGACTTAGAGATGAGCAGTGTATTGTGTTTAGTAACTCGAAGTACAGGAGTTTCTCTGTGGAGTTGTGTCCCATGTCACCACACACCTTAACTAACTGTTGCATAAAAGGAGGGACACCGCTGAGCCTATGCCCACTCCACCAATGGTATAAATCCATACTTGGCAGTTCACCGAAATGGTCGGCATTTTTGAGCAGACTGCAGGGCCCAGCAGTCCCCCTCCACAAAGTGGGGTCACAGCATCACTGACACTGACCGAATCCCACAAGCAAATGGAAAAATGGAGCCCTCGGTTCTCAGCCTTCCCCCCCTATATTAGCAGCACAGGGTGAGTAGCCTGGGGAAAACAAAAATGACAGAACAGTTTAACCCCTTCCCCTGGCCTGGGTCAGCCACTGCTCACTAACTAAAGTAGGCAACCTGCCTACATATTAAAATCCTAAGTTTATTAGTACAACTCAATCAAGCTGATCATATTCAAATAAAAAAAGATATTAAACATGTAAATGGCATTTGGTCTTCATGAACAGAGCCCCATAAGTACAGACCAAGCCACAGACTGAATATAGGTCATATTTGTCAGCTCTGGAAACGGCCATTTATATGAAAGATGATGATACACCTTAAACCCATAAAACGTTTTGCTGTTTTGGAGGGACAGATGCAAATTTCTAATACTGTAGTGTGAGATGGGGAAACAGCTCTCATTGTTTGAACACTGTTTGTGTGGAAGTAAATGAATGTTTTGACTGGCATTCTGCAGTTTAGCCACAAGATGTCACTGTTTTTCTAACAGCCTCAGACTGCATAGATATTTGTATATTCATGAAGAGGTGGGGTTTTGCACACAGAGGAGAGAGAGAAGCCATGTTTTGGAGCTTGGTGAATAAGGGCCGTGTGAGCTGAGAATCTGATGACATCCAGGTGTGAAAGCGTCCCTCAGTAACTAGAGATTGCTGCCAGGAAGGCTGAGAGAGCAGAGGAACTAAGCAAAATATACGGCAAGACCACATGCTTGTTGGAGAGACATTTGCTCTGTTCAGAGTCACCATCGGATTCAAAGCAGACCCGGGTCGGTAAGATCGTGCATGCACCTCATTTCATTGTTGGTGCCTTGAGACGGAGTCCAGGCCTATAGTTAGTTAGTTAGGGTCTCTGTTTGTGTCAGGCCACAAGTGTTGTTACTGATTATTGGAAAGACTCCACAACTTAAAATGACATTTCACAGTGGAGAGCTGATAAAATCCTACAAACTCAAGCCAGACTGGCACGTGCTACAGGACCAGTTATGGGAGGGGGAATACTGTAGATTTGTGTAAGATTGTAAGCTGTTGTGCTGCACCGCAGGCTAGCCCATACTGTACACCCATACACGGATTCCTGCTCTTTTAGGGTAATAACAGGTAAGGTGTGGCAGCTTATTTGTGCCCGCCAGTAGGTAAATTACTTCACCTTCTACCTTCATCCATCAGAAGGCGCCGTGCTGTGCAGCACAAGGGTCTCAGGCTTTGGGCTGGGTGTATGTAAATTTATTGTATGTTTCCAGCATTTGTGGTTGTGCTTATTTGCCACATCTAAGTAAAATTCTGTTGTGGCAAAAGCTGGTGTTGGGGTTGCTTTCCTCGTTTGTGACTTCACTGTATCCTGGGGAGCCCACGGCTTACAGTAGGGATGTGGCGATTGGTAACTCTGAACCGTTGGCATTGAGTTACATATGGGGCATCTGTTGGCTGTCCCTCCTCTCCTTTGAAGCTAGCCACTGGGAGATGATTACTTGGAAGGACTGGAGCACCCTGAGAATAGGCAAGTATCAGCATCTTGCTTCTACTGGATGATTAGTATGGGTGGGTGGGAGCAGTTTTAAAAGCAGAACTTTACCTTTAACAGGGTGATCACAATTAAGGTTCTTTAAAAATAGGACACACATTCCACATTAATAATTAGGGTGTGCTGTAAATTGCCTCCACCATTGCACCGGTTTCTTCTTGCTGGAGGCTGCCATTTTTATGAAGCCCAGAGCAGTCACTTCCTTATTTGAAACTTTCCCTCCTCTCCTTGGTCTCAAAAACTATGTGTCACTTTCTTTAAAAGGATAAGTTCACCTTTGGGAACAAGTTACACATTCCACCTGGTTTAGGGTGGAACATGTTCCCAATGCTTAAGCAAAAAAGATCAGAGAGCTTGTGGCGAATGTCCAGAATAAAAAAAACGTAATGTTCATAACCAGCAGAAAACATAAAAAACTGTTTAATGGAGCAATAAAAGCAAGAATCACCATAAGGATGTATCCATGAATGAATATCATACAAGGAGGCTGGAGGAATGATGGGAGCGGCTTTCTGTGTTGTAGGTATGGCAATGGAGAGCCTGAATGGTGAGCTAAATGGGTGAAAAGTGAAGGAGCCACAATTGATGGTATACAGGTGACCAAGGCCAGCAGTCTAAGAAAGACCCCAAAGGAGAGATGGAGAGGAGCAAGACGGACCTCCTTGGTTCCTGGAGATCTCGCACCGGAGATAGTCATCGCATCGGAAGCTCAATCACTGCAAGATCTTTGCAGAGCCGATCAATCCTGCACCAACACAGGAAGCCCACTGGATGAAGAATTGCTAAAGGAGGAGCTATAAAAAAACAAAAAACAAAAAAAAAACCACAACCTCAAATCGATTTTTTACTGCTGAACACTTGAAATCGCAGCAGCAGTATGGAAAATGGATGTACACTTACATCCTTTTTAGTCTCGCGCTGACATCCGTTGACATACATTTTGATGTCCCTTGACATTTTTTTTTTTGCGCTCATTAAAGTGTACTGCATTTTCACAGGATATCCAGTGCATTGCATTGATATTTGCATACATCCGCTGTGTTGCGCTAAAAAGCATACATGTTGCATTTTAGTGCAATGCAGGTCAACGCAGCGTTATTGTGTAAATATGACTCATTGGAAATTGTTTTTCAGATGTCCTTCCATTGATCTGCGTTTTACAGCTGCGCTAAAAACGCAGATCAACGCACTGGTGTGAATTGGCCCTAATTGTTTCAAACATTTTTATTTTTTTAAGAAAGCTACAGTTTGACATTGTGCAAACACACTGGAATCCATGCACTTGGGAACTAGTGTATTTATCTTACAGGAAGTATATGTAATGCTTGAAGCAGAAATGCCATAACAAAAAAACAACATGCAAAATTAATTACCTATTAAAAGATTAAAGCGAAACTCTCTCAGTCATTAACTATTTTTAATCCTTAGTAAATAAAATCGGAAGCTATATCCACTTGCTTTAATTTTTTTTTTTTTTTTTTTTACACATTTCTTCAGTTGCTCCCTGGTTTCTGGCCTATGTTAGAATGAGGTCATACATCCCAGGAGTCTTCATGGACATTTTTTTTTCCTTTCATATGGAGGAGCTTTCTCAGCTAAGCACACCCTCCTATCTGAGTTAAGGGCAGATGAATTCCAGGAAGAAAATGCTATATGAATCATCTGTCCTTACTCAAGATGGCCATGGCTAGAAATGCTAGGGGGTGTTTTTCAAAGTGATTGGACGGAAGGGTGAGTTTGTTTTGAACATTAAAAAATAATTCAATTGCATTTTCAGTTTTTGATGCTCAGATGCAGGTAATTTCCGCTTTAATTACAAAAAACAAAAGCAAAAACAGCTTTTGCTGAAAATGTATCTAATGAATTCATATTATACATACAATAGAACAAATGTCAATTCATATGTAGTGCTACCCCCATAGGAGCTGCTGGTTAGGATGAGCCCTCTGTTCTTAGCCTCGACTTTCTAAAGAACTTCAGCCTCTCTGACACACTAAGATGAGTGTACAAACCAGGGGCGGACTGACAACTCATGGAGCCCCCAACTCATGGATCCCCTGTGTCCTTGCCCAAACTCAAAAAAGCCTATGAAAAAGGTACCAGGGGCATCTCATGGGGCCCCCTACTGACCCGGGGCCCTCGGGCAGTGCCTGAGTTTCCAAATGGTCAGTCCGCCCCTGGAACATATATATAGTACCACAGGAAAACACTGAAGGTAATACTTAGTACTAGTAGTGCTATATAAAAGAAAACAGGCAGCATACCGGGTAGTGAAGACAAACTTAATATATTGTCACCCAATATGGTTGGTACCTAGACAAGCATGAAATGGATTAACAATGGTAATAACACAATTTAGCATATAAAATGATTAACAGTAAGGACTAGGCATAAGATGACATTTTGGGGGTTTATTTACTAAAGCTGGCGAGTCCAAAGTCAGACTCCCTTCTGCATAGAAACCAATCAGCTTCTAACCTCAGCTTGTTCAATAAAGCTTTGGCAATGAAACCTGGAAGCTGATTGGTTTCTATGCAGAAGGGAGTCTGATTTTGGACTCTCCAGCTTTAGTAAATAAACCCCACGGCATCCAGATCACCATAAAACACTAGCAAGGCTACCTCAAGTGCAGCAGTGACCAGTAGTAAAGTTTAATCTACCAAGTGCTGGAACTATACTGCCAGAGAGCATTCTAGTTCTAGGCTGACTGGGTATGCATCATCCAAAAGAAAAAGAAGGAGGTAAGGGTAGTTGACAGGAAAACAAAGGGGGCTTGCAGAATAATTATTACAGAATGGACAGTCCTTTGAGATGTTCTACTGCCAAACCAGAGGCGTCCCTAGGGTTGGTGTCACTCGCTGCGGTAACACTTGGTGACACCCCCTCCGATGATCCCCGCAGAATGGATCGGATCTGCGGATTGAGCATAATGGATCGGACTCCGATCCATTATGCTCAATCCGCAGATCCGATCCATCCTGCGGGGATCGTCAGCTTTCTTTATAACTTACCTTTTCATGGAGTGGATCTGGTGTCACCCCGTATAGGTTGCATGCCGATGATCCCGAAAGATGCGGGGATCGCGGCATGCAACCTATACGGGGTGACACCAGACCCGCTCCAAGAAAAGGTAAGTTGTAAAGAAAGCCAATGATCCCTGCAGGATGGACAGGATCCATCCCGCGGGGATCAATGGCTTGCTTTGCAACTTACCTTTTCGTGGAGCGGGTCCGGTGTCACCCCATGCGGTTGGTGTCACCCAGTGCGGGCCGCACTCTCCGCACCTGCCTCGGGATGCCACTGCTGCCAGCTATTGTTGGGGCCTTTTAAGAACGCCTGTGCACTTAACATACATGCAGCATAGGTAAGGTATAGTTTCAGCACAGGTGCAAGGTAGATGTGGTAAAAGTTCAGTATAATGTGGTATAGGGTTGGTAAAGGTGCAATCTAGTTTTGGAATAAGTGTTCTATAGAGTGCAGTATGTATTGGGTACATTTGGAGTCCTGTTTTCAGAGGCCCAGTGCATGCAGTAGCAGTATCAGCAGTGGGTGAATGGCCCGCTCACTAGTCCCTAGGATGCTCCAATGACCTGTCACTGTAGAAAAGGGGTGCCCTCTGTCTCTCCACAGAATGCTTCTGGAGATTTAGCAGTTGGAATTAGAGGGTGAGAGGATGCTCTGGTCTTCCTGCAGCAACAGTTTAGATGCGGTCTGTGCAGTGCTGCCTCGGGTCTCTCTGCTGGTCTGGTTTCTCAGCAATCTGGTCAGTATGCAGCAGATGTGCTATCCACGACTCCAAGAGGAAGAACCTAGCACAGCAGCCTCAGAAAAGCAGCTTCACTCCTCCCTGCCCCACTATGTAATAGCCGATTTGTCCTATTATATGGCTACCATCTCAAAATACAACTGCAAGGATTTTCAGAACTCTGCACAGGCCTATGGGCTTGCTTGGCTTTAGCTCTCTCCCTGCCGGTCAGAGAAGAATAGTGCAGCACAACATCAGTATCTCAGTAGATGTAGAAAAGAATGAAAGCCATTGAGGTTGATTTACTAAAGGCAGATATACTGTGCACTGCAAGTGCACTCCAAATGGATTTGGAAGTGCACTGAAAGTGCAGTTGCTCTAGGTCTGAGGGGAATCTCTGCTGATTTCTATCATCCAATCATGTGCAAGCAAAAATACTGTTTTTTGTTTTCTTCGCATGTTCCCCTCAGATTTAGAGCAAGTGGACTTGCAGTTGCAGTGCACATATGCAGCGCTGTGATATACTGTACCATAGTAATAGTGTCCAAAAAAAAAAAAATCAGATGAAAACACCACGTGCCCAGTCCGTGACACACATATTAAATAAATGAACTATATACACACTCACCGACCACTTTATTAGTTACACCTTGCTAATTCCGGGTTGGCCCCCCTTTTGCCTTCAGAACTGCCTTAAATCTTCATGACATAACTTCAACAAGGTGTTGGAAACATTCCTCAGAGAGTTCGGTCTATATTGACATGAGTTACTGTTGCTTTTCCTAGCACCTGAAACCAGTTTGCCCATTCTCCTCCAACATCAGCAAGGAATTTTCATCCACAGAACTGCCACTCACTGGATATTTTCTCTTTTTCAGACCATTCTTGCTAGAAATAGCTATGCGTGAAAATCCGTGTAGATCAGCAGTTTTTGAAATACTCAGACCAGCCCTTCTAGCACCAACAACCATGTCACGTTCAAAGTCACTTAAATCCCCACTCTTCCCCATTCTGCTGCTCGGTTTGAACTTCAGCAAGTCATCTTCACCACATATAGATGCCTAAATGCATTGAGTTGCTGCCATGTGATTGGCTGATTAGCAGTTAGCAGTTTTGTGTTACCGAGCAATTGAACAGGTGTACCTAATAAAAAGGCCGGTGAGTGTATATTTAAATTTACAGTTTTTGTGCCTGGAGTTCAGCTTTAAAGGATAAGTTCATCTTTTGTAACATGTTACACCCATATTCAGTTGTTACAAAAGTCCGCTTGTAGTCCTCAATGAACTACCATGGCACTGTGAAGCGCCGTGATAGTTAATTCATTCTTCCTGTCAGTATCATCTGCTTGCTCGTATATCCCGTACGGGTAAGCAGATATAGCGACAGATCTGCATGGCACCAGCGATCTGCTGATCACTGGAGCAATGCTTTACAGGCTCCTGCAGATAAAAATAATAAATGCACATTCTGAACCTGCAAAAAAATGTGCATTTATTATATTTTACCAAAAGGTGAACTTACCCTTTAAGTCGGTAACATTGCTACGTGCTTGGCTCCTGGGAACTTGAGGTCCTTTATTATTTGCTTACTGGTCACATTAAAAATGGTACTTATTTACTTTGGTATTGCCCTGGGGGAAAGTCACATTCTTCTGACACACATGTGGCTTATGTCCCCTCCATTCCACTTATACTTGCTTCGGTTTATTTTTTGCTGTTGTATCTTAGCCGGTAAACCTGTCTCAGCTGGGAACTTTGTAAGTATTGCTTGGGCTCTGAACATTAATGGCTAACCTGCATATCCTCTCAGAGGGCTTGAGCTGGTCATTAGAGTGCCTAAAATATCTCTTCTAGCCTTCTATGTGGCTCTGGTGCCATGTGATAACATGTCTCCTCTGCTCAGGCCTGGTTATCTAACTGGTTAAAATGGTATCACAAGGACAGAAGGAGAAAAGAAACCTCAGCCTTCAATCTCCCTGGCGCTAATCAATCATACCCGGTGCGATTGTCTAATATTAGTTCAGCTGCTGTCGTTACTGATTGTTGTAAACTTCCTGGAATTGTCAGTCTGGTAATGTTATGTCTGCTGATATATGTTCATGCATAAATATGTTATATGATATATGTTGATGTTCTTTTGATAAAAAAGGTTCTGTTAATTGTCAAAGTATCAGAAATCTGCAACCTCTTATAGCATCTGAACCACATTTTAGATACAACAGTGGACAGTGAGCCACACCAAATGTGACTAAATAGGAAACATTTTAGAGTAATTACTCTATTTATTATAATTACTGATAATAAAGGTTAAAGCAGACCTTCTCCCCCAAGAGCAACTAAGGCTATGCGCAGTGTCTTTACTCTCCACATTTTAAATTGGCATTTTTATTTTAAACATTAGATATGTCCCCGACCGCCCACCACCATTCTTTCCTAAATGAGAATGATGTGCCCTTGCTGCCTCAGCCACCTGGGATTCCACATCATGTATCCCAGGAGGCTGCAAAAAGAAAAAAAAACAAAAAAGAAAGAAGAAGGGGACTCGCATTGCCTGGTGGAGAGAGCTGTGGACATCATCGGAGGCCAGCTGCCAAGATGTCAGTGTGGAACCCAGGTTACTGCACCTGATCAGTGGATCACAGCAGCACAACACTGGATCCACAGGGCAAGTGAGTATCTGAATCTATGACAATGCTGCATAACAAGTAAGTGTAAACAAACAAATTTAAAAAACAAACCACATTTCCATACATGGATCAAAATTGGGCCAGTTGGACTGGAACAAGCCGAATTTCAAACACATATATGGGCACGCTGGTTGCACACAAGTCGATCTATTGATTGTCTTGTGTACAACCAGCCTGTCGAGTTTTTCCCAAACAATTTGTACCACTGGCTATAGTCGGCAACACTAATCATTGTGTTCTGCTAACATGGAAGGTTCCCCACTGGCACAACACAAATAGTGCTGCGGGAGGGATTCCCCCACCAACACTGAAGGAAAGAAAATTGCATAAGCTATGACCTGCCTTAGCTTGCTCTGTAGGTTGAAAACATGTTAATTTGTTTTTAGTTATGCTTTGTTATTGCTGCTGATCTTCCACAGCTTCTTTGTAGCCACTTCCTCTTCATCTTTTGACTATTAAGATGCTTCTAGCCAGGATTCAATAAATCTAGAGACATTGGTGTAGTAGGTGTTTTAAGAGGCGGAAGTTTAAAAATCATTTCATTGTACTGGTACGGAGCTAGCTGATAGGAGAATAGAGCAGAGTGACAGAACTGAGCTCATCACTGCGCTGTTGTTTTGCTTTCACTTGATGCTGCCCATCAGGCTAAAGGCATCTTGTGGTTGCAAAAAAAAAAAAAAAAAGTACTGTGGGCGGAGAAATCTATAATGAAAGTGAGTATTTCAGCAAATCAATAAAATAAACCCCTACTCTGTGCTCTACTGAAATATATAAAAAGAAAATCTCCAAGATAAATCTATTATCATCAATACACAAAACGTGAATATCAAATCACTGATGCCACAATATTAACCCCATCAACATACACTCACCGGCCATTCACCCGGTACACCTTGCTAGTACTGGGTTGGATCCCCCATTTACCTGGCACATATTGACATGATAGCATCACACAGGACATGACCACTTACTCTGCACAAGGAGAGAGAGCAGCAGTGAATGGTCTTTATTACAGGAAGCTCATGCAGAGGCTCACACTGGATTATTTCAGAGATCTAGAAAAAATACACAAAGCACCCCAATATGGCATTCACTGTTCATATTGTATGCAGTTTTATGGTGTCGATTGTGTAGGTACCTGCCTGTCAGTGAAATAAAGCAGTTGCGTGTGGCGGTATAACACTATGTCGGCTCCTTTTTACTCTTTCGGAGGATGGTATTATTTATGGCGTGCTGTTAACCCTTAATGTTTGGACGCCTAAGATCTGGAGGTGGTTTCTGGTGGAAGCAGGTAGTCTCCAGGGGTTTATTTTGAGGGCATGTTGATCTCTGTTGCCACAGGAGATCAACGCCATTTAGGAAAAGGCTGAGTGATTTAAGGTAGAGGATTCACACGGAGAAAACACCCACTTACCATTTGCCCTTTGCACCTATTGGATGAAATTTGCGTGAACTATGCACCATGATTGCACTATCAACTCACATATTTATTTATTGATTTATTATATGCATTGACATCTATATTATTTATTGATTGTTGTGCAATATTCACGACTGAGTATTTCACATATTTTCAAGTCAAACCAGGTAAAAGAAAAAAAAAAAAAAAGTAATCTCAGGTCCTACAAGATTTATTACCAAATTTGGTTCTTAAGGGGGGAGAGAAGGTCTATACTCAGGGGCGTCCCTAGGGTTGGTGTCAACCGGTGTGGTAACACTTGGTGACACCCCCTCCGACGATCCCCACAGAATGGATCGGAGTCCGATCCATTATCCTCCCCAATCTGCAGATCAGATCCGATCCATCCTGCGGGGATCGGTTCTGCAAACTGGAATGTTTCTTTGTGGACAATTTTCTATTTGCCCTTATGT